CGTTAGATCGACGACGTACTGTCCCCACTGTACCAACGTGAGTCTTTTCAGCATACGTAGTCCTCACTCACACGCTCCTCGAGAAAACTTCCCAGGGGGTCACCCATCATAGAATTGCTCCAATCCAAGCACTCTTAACTGTGGAATTTCTAACGATGGACTTCCGGAAAAGAAGGTGTACCTTGGTGGTATGAGTAGTACCTATCAAATCTTTTAAGCTTTCCTGGTCTGGGTATTACAATCACCCCCCGTTAGACTAGCGACGTCTTTGTCGCGCTTGACCCATCTGGGGATTCGTTGCCAGGCATTGGGATTCTAGAGGTGGCTCCTACGGGCTCAAGAGGTGGCTCCCGCCCTTGACGTAGCACTTTGTCCCGCATAGCACTTAGTTCCCGATTTTTGGCTGGCAAGCGAGCTTTGATACCATTTGTAACGACCCAGGTCCCACTTAACGGGCTGTCCCGGCCGTTAGATCATATGCCCCCACTGTACCAACGTGAGTCTTTTCAGCATACTTTGTCCTCACTCGCATGCTCCTCGAGAAAACTTCTCAGGGAGTCACCTATCATAGAATTGCTCCAATCCAAGCACGCTTGACTGTGAAGTTTCTAATGATGGACTTTCGGAAAAGAATGTGCACCTTGGTGGTATGAGTAGTACCTATCAAATATTTAAGCTTTCCTGGTCTGGGTATTACAGCCTTGGAGCCCATAGGTACCCTTGACCCACCCAGATTCAGGATTTACTCTTTTATTTTCCCTACTTGTGGAATTGGAACTAACCGTTTTATATTTACTTGAGATATGGTTTAAGTCTCAACCTTCATCCTCAAATGTTTTACATTTTTGTATTCACCTAGAATTCTAAAGACAGACAATAGAAATGTTTTATAATATTTACATGTGGCCTTCACTCCCCATTAGTGAAAATTACTGGTTTGATTACTACTTATGTAGATATGGTTTACTTGGTGTTATCGTATCTTTTTCTTCAGTTGACACGAGATTGTTAAATAGTCGTAAATGGCATGGACTTGTCGTTTCGCTACAATTATCGTTTTTCAACATGCTGATTTTTGGTGACTATGAAAAGCCTTTTGTTGTGTTAGGTCCAACAATAAATACATTGGGCTGTGATTATAATTCTATTTTCACCATTTTACTGCCAATTTTGCCATTGGTACTAACTGCTAAGTGGTTTTTTCTCTTTGAACTTAATTTTCATTTGTTGCAGTCTTGAGTATTTTTTTTGCCGGAATTTTCTTTTCTTCTTTCAGTTTGCCCTCTCCTGATATCCTGAAATACAGATAGACGAACATGGCATTTGTAACTTGCAGTTCACTGTTAATTTGATGCCTTATGCAATTTGTGACAAAAGTTTATACTATGCTATATTTAATAAGTACTGTTCTTTAACAGATAATTCACGATCTAAATTGTCTGGTGGAGAAAATTTGCGGTAGTTACCTAGGGCACGTGCTTGAGCTTCTCAAATCATGTTCCCCTGAAGTGCTTGATCTTGTAAGGCAGAGTAGTTTGCAGGGCGGCAATTCCCTGAAAGTTCTTCCGCCCCTTGTAATGAATTGAATAATAAAAACATTAGTTGAAAAGTCAATCGAGGTAAGCCATCTTTATCCAATTTTTTACTCTAACAAGCTTCCTTGGACTTTATTAGCATGTTTATAAGGTGCTTGAGCACCTTTTAAGCTTAGCCGAACATGCTCATGCTCTATGTTCAGCTTAACCATGGACAATAAATTGACCTGATATAGTTTATTTGGGATATGACGTTTGCTAAATTTTACGTAGGACTTAAAACCGTTAAATGGAATAACTGCAACGTATAGGGTGGGTCAGAGACCTCTTCCTGTTAGGCATTCACTATATGTTGAAGGGGTATTGCGTCCTTTAAAGGTACAGATCTGTCTTCACCTCCAGAATCTTATTGAACATAGATTTCCTCTTACATCATTATTTGCTATGAGATAGACGGTGAAATGCTTATCTGATTATCCACTTAGCATCTTGAGCGAATATATTACATGTATTTGAACATAGTGCTGAAATAATTTATATGCTTTCACGTGAAACAATAACTTCTCCTTAGAAAATAAAAATTAGTACTATAAGCTGTAACAAAAAATTCCGGTTGTATAAAAATTAGCACCAATCTTATAGTCAGTCGCCGTGCTATTGATGATAGTGCTGTTATTATTGCACAAGTACCTATACCAAAATTTGTGTCGATATGACTAGTGGATGATGTGTGCCTGATCAGTATAAAATGTTCTGATAATGAAAATGTTTTGAATGGAACTTTCCACGGTGATTCCATATATTTAAGAGCACAAACCATCTAGTGTTGATAGAGCTGCTAAAGAAGAGGTGACACATCCACACTAACACCTCGCTGGTGTGGGTGAGGGTGAGGGTGGGGTAGGTGTCTGCTAAAATCATGAGTGATACATGAAATGCAGTAAGATCAGCATCTATATATGTAGGCACCTCGTATGTAATCCTCAAGAAATTCTGCATGTTCTTGTTAACTTGAAAATAAGATGTATCACGATTCTTTTGGTTTCTGATCATGGTAGACCTTTAAATTTTTTATGATATTCTCAACCTGTTAGAGATTGCTTCTTCTAGGAATATCATATATTTTCCCCACCTTCAGAAGTGCATGCCTCTCTCTTATTGGCTTTACAATGTATTATCAAGTTCCATTGGAACTGTTTTTCATCTAAAACATCTCTACTTTCTGCAGGCTTTTCTTGATGGAGAGCGAGTTGCCATGTATCTGACAGGCAACTTCCGAAATGAACTCTTGCAGGGTGCAACTAGTGAGATTACTCTCCGATATTATGTATTCGCTGCTGATCGTGTTAGTTTGGTATGTTGATTACAGAGAATATTGTCTGAATTCTCATCTTCTTTCTTCCCGAGCATCCATTTTGTTCTTGACTCACACCATTAATAAATTTCTAAAACCCTTCCTGGATTCTGCAGTGGATTTGTGCCAAAATCTAGTGCATATTGGCCTAAGCTTAGAAAATATGAAAGGTACTTTTTAAGTAACTTTTTGTTTCTAAGCATGTTCGGGCTAACATAATTTTTTGTAACTTGTACTAGGAAAGTCACTTTGAAAGTAACTCCTACATTTCTGTTCTAAACAAGTAACCTATTTTTTTTTTCCATCTTTGACTAAAACAAATGTTTTTTTCTAAATGTACTAATTTTGTTAAGTCCTTGTTTGGTAATTGGTCAATCCACTTTTTATCCACGTCATGGGACTCACAAGTGCTATCCACTTATCCACCGCTTATTTCTATCTATTTATAGTTTAAATCGTTTATAAACAACTCCAAAACATGATTTAGTCATATTTTTATGCCTAGCCAAACATGCTCACAGACTTACTCCCTTGGCAGTTAAGTAACCAAATGTAGTTTTACCTAAGTGCTGGTTTCAGCTTTTTTATTATTATTCGTGAGAATAACTTCCTGCTATCTTTCTGTTACGGCATTGCCAAATTGACACTTCTTACCGTAAAACATGTCAGAAAGACAGAGTCTTCTCTTCAAAAAATGCGTTTAGTTGCTCAAAAAGGAGCTGGAGCAAGCACAGATGTCTCAGACCATAGTGTGTCTGATACTGACAAGATGTGCATGCAGTTATTTCTTGATATTAAGTGTCACTTCGATACTAGTGAACAAATCTTGATATTTAGGTAAGTGTCACTTGACAGTATAGTGAACAAGATTTTATCATTTCCTTTTTAACATTGCTATCCAATCCTCACTGAACATTTAAGCATCTTAAACTAAATTTCTTGTCTTTTCCATTTCAACATTGGTCGAGAGTATTGATTCCAAAGGATAGCATTTTTATCATTAGTGGTTTACACCGTATTGAATATTTTTATAAATGATCTTAAACTAAATGCACAAGTCAAACACACTTCATTTTTACATCTACATCTTGTGGACTCGCAACTTATTACTCATTTTTTATCACACATACTGTGAGACCCGCTGCTTAAATCATGATTTAAGCACTTCCAAACAAGCACTAAGCCTCTGTTTGGTACACATTATCTGAAAATACATTCTTTTAAAACTCATTTTTAACCACACATTTTTCAATAAAATAACATTTTCAATCACATCAATTATTTTTCCTTATTTTTTAACCACACATTTTTCATCGTATCACTATTTAAAATACATTTTTTCCCCAATAATATCTAGCGCCTAAATTTCTTCTTTACAATTTCAACATTGGTCGAGAGTACTGATTTGGTCAGATGGCATTTTTATCATTGGTGGCTCTCTCTCAACTGTCTTATGATTTTCAGGAGAACGCACGCAACCTTGCATCCCTTGGTGTTGATGCTGCGAATATTCCCTCGTACCGTTCCTTATGGCAATGTGTTGCACCTCGAGACAGGCAAAATACAACAAGCTTCTAGTTTAGAACTGTTACTATTTGGCATGGGGTTATATGCATATTTTTTTTAGTATAGAATTATACAGTAAAATGAAAGTGCTCGTATAATTTTTATTTTTACTGTTTTATTAACTTTCTCTACCATTTAACTGTAATGGTGTGTTTAGTATGCAATAATGTATATAACTGCACAAGACAGGCAAAATTTGGACTTTTTAATAGAATCAAGGACGAGTGAAATTAATGAAATAATTACAAATTCGCTATCATTTTAAAGTAAATATAACATGCTAGTCTACAAAATTGATTCCCTTCACACATTTTCTGTATAACATTATACAGGTCACAGAAACATCCTTAGGAGCATATTCTGAATGATTTTTGTTGACCTCTTGAAAATAAATCTTCAAAAATAGAGTACTCTTGAACCTTTTTCCATTTTCCTATCGTCATCTCTCGTGATTTCACACTGCTCCACGAGGTTCACTTTACTATTTCTTCCTCGACTCTTTTGATTCTTTGCTTCCCGAAGACTGTCTGTAAATCATACTCCGATCATTTAGGTACTGTCGTCTCCAAATCCGATAAAATCTTGTCCATGTCATCAAAATACGGCCAGGTCTTTCGACTTTTCGTATCATTCTTACATTCCTGTTCAAAACAAAAGTAGTTACTAATCATCAAATGAAGAAATTCGATGTGACAAACATGATTTCTAAAAAGTGTATTAAGGGCACGTAAACATAAACCAAGGCCAGCCTGGAAAATACTTATTTGGGCAGTTCTATTATAAAAGCACGTTCTGGCTACTTTAGCCGTTCAGAATTTGGGTCTTTACTCGTTAACTTCTGTCGACCAGGGAAAAACAAAGAAAAATACACAATTGACGACATGAAAGGAGGATATTGTAATCAAGACGAGCCTGCATTACAATGGATGGTTGGTAGAACCAGGGTGTCCACTTTAGGGTGTCTGGCATGGCTTTTCAAAAACTAAAAGCTCCGTTTGGACCTATTTGGGTAATTTTTTGGAAGTGATGTCTGATTAGAAGAATTTTTAGAAGAAGCCGGCCCCAAGAAGCTCTTCTACAAATAGCAAAAGTCATCCTAAAAAGGCCCTTAATATAAACATAGAGTCCTATTTAACAGAATCGGAAAAGTCATATACGTAACAATCAAATCATTGTCGAATTCAGGAAGCATTCTAAGCCGAACATATGTATTATTTTTTTGATAGGTATGTTCGAAGTGTATTAATAACATACATATATACAGACATGCATATAACTATAATCATTGAGAAGATAACGAGCTCAATTTGGCAGATAAAGCCTCTACCAAGTATGTGGATGAATATGACAAATAAAAGAATCTAAAAAATTAGGACGTTGTTTTAACTTCTAAGCTAGAGATTAAAAAAAAAACGAACCTCGTATTTCTGAATAAGAGACGTCCACAAAGATTTGCATTGTCCTGCACTTCTAGTAATTCCATTAGATAACAAATTTGAAGATATCTCTTCCCAAAGGGCCATCCGTCCCCTGAGAACTTGAAATCTGCTGTGGAGTTCCCCGCGCAATTCAATTAGCTTCTTAACCTCTTCAGGTTTCCATTTGTTCCGTTTTGCAGTCTTGGGTTTTAATCTAGATTTTGGCGTGCTGGAATCAAGTTCACTGCTTTCCGCTTTGACCACCTCGTTTTGCTCCTGTTCTGGAAGTAAATCGCTGTTACCTTCTGATTGATTAACCACGGATGGTACAACAAATGACTTCCAAAAATCATCCGAATTGTCACCATCGGGAGATTTTTCTGGTTCAGAACTTGAAGAGGTTTCTTCCTCTTCTAGAAGTCTCTCATTGTCAACGTCATGAACTGCACAAAGAAGAAAGTACGAAGAATAGTTTCAATGAATTAGTAACATGATCACATCGCGGAATCTAGTTTGATGTGCCTAAAAATTTATGAAGGCACTAGAATATAAAAGATTACATTATGACAATCACTTGATCAGATACAGCATATATTGATTAATTTGGTGATCTTAATGGTCCAAGACAAATAATATTCTATTCTGTACAAAAAATATTGGAGGCCTATTCAACTAACCATAAATTTGACCAGTCACTAGAGGCTGGCACTGAAGTTGAGCACTAAGAGCACGTTTGGGAAAAAAAAAGGTTTCTATTTACAAGTTGGGGATCCACAAATTGTGTGAACCAAAATCCAATAAATTAAAAATTCCCAACTTATCTGGCTTATAAGCTGGCCTATAAATTTTGGTCCACACAATTTGTGAGTTCCCAACTTATTAGACCAACATTTTTTTGCCAAAATGCTCTAAGATCTCTACGCTGTGGATTATCCTCAAGTGAAATAACGCAAAGCCCAAATTGTTGATTTTAATGAATAGGAAAGTCACTCGTTTTTGTTATAATTTCACTTAACCCCTAAACGAACTGCGGAGAAGAGAACGCTGAAAGTCCATCCTGCCCCTTCCTGGTACAGCTAGCAGATCATATGCAAAACTACCACAAAGCCACAATAAATTATATAGCTACTACACCCAGTGATGAGACTATAATTTACCAACTCACATAATTAAGCTCAAATAGGCTAATCTAAATTAAAGGTTGAGAAATCATTACTAAGCACCAAGCTTAGCATATGCTAAGCAGCGATTGATTGATGTGAGATGTCATTGGTGTATAGCATAAGTTAAGTACCGGTACTTAGTAGATCATTGCTCATTAAAGGTTTACACCAATATTGTTTTGATATTTTCTTTTGAAACTCATAAACAGCATAATGCCCATGAGATCACACCATGTTAAAGAAAGTCAACCAAGATATTATAATACACTTTTTCCGGAAAAGTTACCATTAGAACAGTTAGAAACCATTATTCCTGTCTTCTTTCTGACCACACACTTTGTCTATATACACACAGATTATCAATTTCAAACCCTGAATATATTTAATAAGTGGGGCTATCTATATGCCATAATTTGGGAAATTGAAGAGAATTGACTAAGAGATTTTAGCAAGAATCTAACATAACCTTGTAATTCTTGTTCTGTGGTACTTCTCGCTAGTGCAAGTCCATTGCCATCTTCCTCTAGTGTGCCATTAAGTTTTCTGTTCTTTTGATGTCCATCAACTGCTTTTCTCAATGCTGGAATCCCAAAACCAACATCCGACTTTCCAGATAGTTTTCCATTAATCTCATCGGCAAGAACAGCGTCTGGATTTTCAATAGCAATAGTTATAACTTCGGGTCTTTTGCTACTGTACTTTCTGACCATCTTTCTCAAAACTTCAGAAATAGTTCTTTCCATGTGGGCCAGAGGGCAATTGACAGGACAGCTTGATAGTGCAGCATGTGCAGCTTTATGAAGTGCATCCAAAAGTTTTCCTTTGTCAAGCCATAAGCAACGTGTGGTAATTCTTATTTTTCCTTTTAGAGCCATTTCGACAGAACCATTTATAGCTTGGGGGCGAAAAATTTCCATACTGCACAAGAGATGTGAGACTGTCAATATGCAGGCACAAAGTTCGGAAATTAGGTTTTGCAGCAGTAGTAAATAATGTACCTGACCACTATAATACCGTCAGATGCAATTCTCATCCTCTCATCAACACACAGTTCACTAGCTGTTCCAAATGCTTTGTCGCCATCACTGTACATCAGCTGCAGCATTCAGAATATATTAGCAAAAATCTTTTCAGATAATTAGCAGCTATGAGTGTGACTTCACATATAGCCGATTCTGTGTGTACGAGAGAGAGAGAGAGAGAGAGAGAGTAACCTGCAAATTCTCTTTCCCCAGGGAAATGAAACCATTTGATAGAACCCTTCGGTTTCTCAAATGTGATACTCCAAGCATCTCCCCATTTTTTATAACCTGCAGAGGTAAATTAAATATTGAATAGCAAGAGCTGTAAAAGATGACATTCAAAATTAAGATACCAACACCTTCTACACGGTCAAACATATATACTTTCTATTAACTCTATCTTCTATTTTATGGTTAAAGGGTACCAATTAGAACAAATATCAAATAGCAGACTAAACCAATGATATTGTGCACACTCGTCCATTTTAGATTTTCTCCCAGTCCAAGAAATGGAGCCCTCAACCTGTAACTTTGCTTCACATTTGGCCCTTGACTCCCCACTTCTTGGAAATGGTGTTAATTGATGAAGTAGGCTCATTAATACAACTAGCTTATAAAACAGATATGATAGCAGATTTGTGCATTTAGATACTAGGATTTGTATGTCTTAATCACATAATGACCCACCATTGTTTGACCAAATAGAAATAAAATTGGTTATAACCAAAGAGCCAATACAATTTAAATGAGAGGTACTAATCCAACAATTCTTCAAATATTTTCAACTGAAACAAATTACTTACTGCAGTATGATGAATGCCAGTTGATTTTCCCAGCAACTCGTGCTCTTTAAGGAATACAAGTTCTCCATGGATGGGTAGAAAGTGTTGCGGTTTAACAATTTTTAGCACTTCTTCCTTCAAATACAAATTGTATGAAAATCAATTAAAATATAAACAAATTATTCAGTGGAATGAGCAAAGTAAGAAACGCAACACGTTGAAAATAATACCAGAATAACATTCTCAAACAACTGAAACCACATCCTTCATATGGTATAAATGCAAAGGCAACCCATAAAGATATCTAAGATAGAATAATTAAGATCTTGATTTCATCATCATTGATCAGTGTACTATAGCTCAATTGAATGAAGCACTTGATTGTTATTATAGCACAGAAAAATAAGGTGAAATAATTAAAGCAACGTGCAATAGGGAATGAGAATACTTTATAACTTCCACAATATGCTCACAGCATTAAACTACAAAACACCAGTGTTCAGTATATCTTAATACAGCTAATCGAAGTATCTTACCAATTCATCACGATACGCATGACCAGATGTATGCAGCTGCTCATTCCTGCCCATGACAATCGTTGATCCAATTTCTGATATGCGATTTAGCATTTTCATTACTCTAGTCTCATTTCCAGGGATCACCTATAATGTAGAGTTTATAAGCAACCATGATATCCATCAAGTGAACTGCAGTGAATCTAAATCACGAATAATCATTGAAGGAAAGGTTGGAAAAATTAGGGAAAATCTGCAGTAGTTACATTAGAAATATTCTAGGAGCCATCATTAACTATATTGGGGAGGATACAAAGGAATTTGAATGATGGCACTGGTGCTTCTGAATTATTTTTAGGAAAAATGTGCACAAACAGAAATAAGGACTCTAACTAAATTAAAGTAGGATTTACCATGTGTAATGTTGAACCACTTTATATAAAAGGTTAAGTTGTTAGATCGGGTCTAATGTTTATTATCTAAATATCATCTTCAACATGTCCCCTCACGTGTAGGCGAGATTTATTTTTTCCCCCTTTTTCAATTGGTGACAGTGAGACTTAAACCTAGTACCTTTGCTACTGTGATACTAGGCTGAACCATTACATCTAAAAGTTTAAATTGTTAGATCGAGCCAAATTTTATCATTTAAATATTATCTTTAACATGCAACATCTTGATCGCATATTATGTGTGCAATACACCAATACTGAAAAAATAAATACGTGTTTTTTAGTTAAATAAAAAATAGAAACAAATTATTTTTATATGCGTGTGCAGTGCACACGTGCAAACGAGTATTTACCATGGTCAATTCATAATGGCCATTTCACATTATTTGCACATTATTCAATCAGTAGTATTCTGGCCTATATCTTCATGTATGGTCTCTAAACTAGTTTCGATATAAGATTTAACATGTGAGCCAGAGGTTTATTTTTTGACACAAGCTCCAGCAGTGACAATGCAACTATAGTTCTTAATCAGTAAGTTACATGTTTTGAACTATGCTACTTGCCTGTTTCTAAATCCTTGTATTATTTCGAGAATAATTATAATTGAAATAAAAGTGTTGAAAACAAAAAAACATCACTTCTCCATTAGATCTATATGGTGTGTATAATAATAATTAAAACATATTTTTAATCACGAGGATAAGATACACAAAATATCAAAAACTTATAATATATCTTGATATTGATTATTCAACTCAATAAGCAACTAAAGTTGCTCAAGCTTTATTTTTTGTCAAGTAAAGCAAGCCCAAGCTGGAGCATCGAAAAAGTGCATCAGTTCATTTCATTCTTATCACGGCGTATGTTCTAAAGACTTTGAAACTTCAGTGAATGAATAAATTGTTAAATAATGAGCTTGTTTTATCAACATAAATTTGTTAGTGGTACTAGGAATTTTTCTTTTAGGAGGCTGGTTGAAGACAAACCAGTCTCATGATCCATTACCTTTGCAGAATATAAAATCACATCTTCTTTGTTCAACTTGAGAGAATGACTACTTCCATGGGATGCAAGATTCAATGCAGCACGTGGTTCTGCCTGATACAATAGAACACGCGGTCACATGCTAGTCTCAACATATTGAAATAATCACAGTTGTAAAAAAGCAATTGGAGAAGGTAATAGAATGTCATTAAAGTACATGATATGATAGAATGCTTCATGGTAACTTACTTGAGAACCAGTGGTGACAATAAGCAAATCCTTCGGGGAGTAGGCATCAATGTCTTCCACTTTCACCTGTACGCAAGAGCTATATAAGGGCAAGTACAGAAATGGTAATAGAATGTCATTAAAGTACATGATATGGAGGAGGAAGCAGCCTGGGCAGGCCACAAGTAGCAGTGAGGCAACTGAGGCAGCGAACTAAATCAGTTCAAAGTCAGTCAGTTAGCAAGGGTAAATTGGGGAGTTGAGTCTTTTAAAGGAGAATGTGAATAAATGTGATGGGTGAGGGTGGGGGGGCTTGAGGGGATTCATTCACGTTTTTGTTGAGTCAGTTAGGAGAGATCCAGGCCTCTCAAAATGCCTTGGGGTTGTTAGATCAATTTTCCTTTCCGTTGAATAATAACTACAGTTCTATGTTCTACAAACTTCAATTCCAGCAAATCCATTAATACATTACAACAGCTCTACTACATTCACTCTTTTCCTTCTATTAATTCTTTTCTGTTGGATTCAGCAGATTCATAAAGCACTATCAGCAGCAGCTAGGGCCCTCACCATATCACCAGCAGCAGTCAGGTATCTATCATATTGACCACCCAAACACTCAATCTTCCTTTCAAGGGTAAGATAAGAAAGGGGAAACAGCGTAGACAACAAATGCCGCGAACCCCAGACCATGTTAATGAAAGAGAAGTTTTAAAAAAAAGGTTCAAGTCTACATTAGAAACTTTATTCTGCATGTGCAGGCATCAAGGATGAATACTTGGAAGTGTTTAAACTTTTGATACATCGAATGCTTCGAGAAACTTCTCCCGAATAAAGGTTATCAATTGGAAAAAGAATTATTCCATGGATGCCATCTTTTACAATTACATTAGTTTAAGCCATGTTGTAGAAAGCTGTAAAAGATTCCTTCCTGATGATGTGAGAATCAAACATGTAAAATATTCCTTGCTGATCAGAAGGCTAGACTTTTGCATATTAGCTGGAGATTTTTCCGAACATTAGCTGTATTATTAACGGTATATTTTTCTATTTTAGATAGATGATAAATTAGGGATATATTCTATTATTAGTCCCCTAGAATCATGCTTCAGCAAACTCTGTAATTGACTATAAAGCTAGGAATCTACTATACATTTTTCAGAAGTCAATAAGAATTATTCTAATCTTCCACAAATCTGATTTCTTTATTAACTATTACTTTTACATAGATAAAATAATAAATTTAACCGCTAAGATCTTGACACTTTTTTCTCTCTAAATTGCAAGGAATAAGACTATAAACATAACATAGTAACCTAATTAAATCCCATTGAGTAGAGAAAATCATCAAATAAGATGGGGGATGGAAGTAATTACCAGAGTTGATGGATCAATGGGTGCCTTTCCATCTTTCCATGCAGCATCTAGATATGTCCTTAATGACATACCAACAAATACCTAATACAGTAACAACCAAGTTATGTGTCTCTTGAAGTTTCAAGATGACTCTTCTAAACAAAGATTGACATTACAAGTTACAAAACTAGAAAGCATACCAACTTTCTGCCAGTCAAATCAGCTGCAGCTTTCACACTTCCAAGGCGATGAATATTTGATGCAAATTGAGTAGTAATAACTCTTCCTTGGCAAGCTGAAATATTCCTCAACAATGAATCTGCAACAACTGTCTCACTAATTGTCCTTCCTGGTGAGAGTATATTTGTTGAATCGCTCATCATCTGAAAATTAAAATTGTAATTATTGAAATGCATTTTGTGTTCAGAAGAAGATTTCAATAGTGGATAGAAATCCACAATATATCACAGCTTAGAAAAATATGATGGTCAACAATTAATGTTCCACCCAAGCTTGGGACCGTTACGAAGACAAGTACGAGTGACATAGTTCATGCTTCTCAAAAGCATTAAATATTAAGCCTTTTCTCCTTCATTTCCCTGTTTACTCAGTTCCAGCAACTAGGCTATGTCGTCAATTTTGAATGTATATTTTAGTTTTTTATCAGATAGAACACCAATTGGTTTTTACGCTCATTTTGAACAATTAGACCATTTTGCTCATCCTATACAAAGCTCACTAATGTTTCCCTCACAAACCTTGGCAATTAACTAATTGATACAAAATATTTAATGCCTAATTTCAGTATCCACCTTATTACACTCAACGTTAGCCAGCCAAGAAGCATGCAGCTTTTGTAGCATAAACTGGAAATATAGAATGAGGGGCCTTATAATAGTTAAAACTTCTTGTTCATGTTTCTTAAGGTTATCACGAAATATCGGCCAAACATAACATTAGTGGCATGATCCAGTTGCATCCATGTTCCACTAAGATGGAATTTTCCTGTCAACGTCATAGGGTAAGGTGACTGTTCAAATACCATTTTCATTTATAGATACAGGGATAATGCCCATATCAAGAATAATTGATATTGAATGGGGATATCGATCAACACAAATTTCAGAGCTCACCAAAGATACTCCTTCTCTTGAGAGTTCTTCTAGGGCATCACGGTCAAAAGTTCTCCCATCCAGTGGTGACTCATCTATCTGTCAAAGGAAAATACTTGTGCAGATCATAGATAGATTATAGACATGAAACTAAAGCAAAGAAACAAATATATGAAAAATACCTTCCAGTCCCCTGTATGAAGAATAATGCCATCAGCACAGCGTAAAACCAACCCAGAACAATCAGGAATAGAATGTGTGACCGCAATTGGTTCAATTTCAAATGGCCCCGCGACAAATTTTCTCCGTGTCTTAAATACTTTAAGTCTAGATGGGACGAAGATCCCAAACTCCTTCAATCGCTTCTTAATAAGCTATTTAAACAAAAAAGGAAACAGCTATCCACCTTTTACAACAGGCAGCAAAACGTTAAGGTGTTTGCATGATCAGGAACATCAAGAATCTATCAACAATCACATATGACCTATACCTCAAAAAAGATGGTAGAACTGGGGTTACTCCCCAATACATAATTATGTAGAACATTTCCAATATTGTTTCAATTTCCAACATTTAGGGTTTGTTCGGTAGAGATTAAAATTGGATTAAAATTGAAAAACTAGCCGTTATTGTTGACTTTTATTAGATGAGTGAGACCCAATAACGGCCATATTTTCAATTTTAATTGGATTTTAAGCTGTACCGAACAGACACTTGATGTCTTGTCAGATAAGGCAATAGCTGTTTACTTTATTTGGATTTCAAATACAATGATTGAGTGAGGTAGGACTTTTCTGAAATCTTGAGGATGTTTGGGAAGTGTTTATCAATGGTTTAAATTATAAATAGATAGAAATGAGTTGTGGATTAGTGGGTACTACTTGTGGATCCCTCAAAATATGTGGAAAGTAGATTAAGTATTTATAAACAATTTATAAACATGAGCAAAACATATATTTAACTGTGTATTAATCATGTCATGTCAGGACAGAATAAACAGTGTGTGAAATGGAAACAAGAAATTCAAGTAATTGATCAAACCATAACCACAAACCTCCATTGTGAAGGATGAAGCAAATATTGGTGTATGAGAATCCAGAGCCGGAATGACCTGTTTAAATGGAATCAAACTAGTGAGCACATAATTGATAATTTGAGACTAAAAAAGGATATTTATGAATTTAAAATGAAACATTAAGAGAAAAGTAAAGTTCCACAAGTACTTGTAGCAACAAAAATAATATATAATGACAAAAAGAACAGGAAAACTGATATGTCTCTATGCCACATAAAAATGTTGGATTCTGTAATCATAAAAGTCTGAGAAATATACGGGCTGAAGAAAATGCTCAATGGCATTATTTTACTACCTTTCCAAATGGTAAAATTATATTTATAATAACAGGGAGATTGGTGCAAAACATCAGACACAAATCCCCTAATATTGTCCCAAGTAGTGAGTGTACAATATGACTAAAAGTTCGAAGAGTCTATGCAACACCGATACACCATAAGAATAGAAGTTACAACAGAAATAGAGACTCTCTAAAGATAAATTAGTTGGAAGTCGTTTGAGGACAAGTTCCCATTACAGGCTTGAAGATGTTATCTTTCATTTATAGCTAGATATTGGAAATTCTTGGATTCTATGTAAATTAAAGAAACGGCAGTAGTATTATTGCTTTTCTAAATACAAACTGAAACATCTTAGAAGATTGGTTTAGTGCTTCAAATTTTAATTCCTCTTCTTATACAGAGTATAGGAAACGCCTAAATGGTTAAGTACTTAACTTGATTATGAGTATTCGATAACATTTTAAGTGGTACAGCTTTATAGGATAGGACCAGATAAAAATCAGTTCACTGATTTATGCACTTCTGGCATTGAAGTGGATCGAGTATAGAATGGTAAATTTCGAATGTGCACAAGTCTCCTGCAGCCAAAGTGATCGTAAATAGAGATACATCACTTGTTAGTTATAACTAAATAAAACTATATTTAGTAAATACACAACACACTCCCACTCAAAAACTATAGGTGTAGTAGACATGAGCATGTAGTATATTTCACATATAATAATAGCGTAATATACTCATACAGTATATCATTAATAACGAAAAAAAATTGTTTGTTTGTATTTTTTCATTATCTGGTAAATTCAATGGTTGAATTTGAATTTCTAACCAAACAATTCTTCATATTGAAAATTCAGTACTTCAATCATCGCTGGTTCAGAAATCAGTCAATGTTTAGTCTCAGTTTTTAGATTTCAGTAACGTCATGTGCCCTTATTTGATAACTAAATGAAGATGAGATGTAGCACAAAGTAAATGGGAGAAATTTAAAACTTGCACTATAGCAGCAATACTAAATACTAATCTCCACTAGAATTGTCTTCATATCGCTATATTCTCAAATTTTCTTTTTCTTTATTTCTTTAGAGCAACAGCTAGTATGTAATTGCACATCGCCCTAGACTAATTCCAAATATGATAGCCAGAAACTGGACGTCCCCCACCCCCAAAGAGAGACAATGGCGAACACTGAGGAGCTTTTGAGGACCAAATTTTAATTTGTTTCAGTTGTTCAATATGCATCAGAGAGATTCTATTATAAATAGATTGCCATATGATTGACTAATGAATGATGTCAAAGCATCAAAGAAACTTATAGAAGCCTTTAGAAATTGAACATAATATAGGAAGACTTAAGAGACAAGTGATAAACCACAAGAATTCCCACAATGAGAGGTACGGCCTTAGTCCAATACCACTCAAAAGCAGCAGCTGTGGGCTTCCAAGAGCCCCAGCACAAAAACCTCTCCCTTTTCATGCACCATTGCAGGGTGGCCTTGTTTGGTCCCCAAAAACCACTCCTATTGCCCATTTTAGATCCAGTAAAAAGGTACGAAATGCGCATAGAGGACTCTATGTTCCCTTTTTTCCACAGCACATTTATAACTCTTCACTTTCTTCAAGAAAATACTTCACGAAGAGAAAGCATGTAAAAGAATCTCCCACTGAATTTATATAGTTTATATGTCATTATAAAGAATAAGATTTTCAAGAAACAGATAGAAACTTTACCCAAGGCAACGCACCAATGTGGTCTTCATGACCATGGGTGATAACAACAGCTTCAATTTTGTGGCTCCATTTCTTGATAAATGTGGTATCAGGTATAATCTTCTGGACACCAAGCTCATCGTAGCTGAAGTACATAATCCGCGAGTTAAGAATGAATCAAGGATAGAGGAACTAAATTAACAAAATTATGTACTAGAATGGGAGGAAAATGCATATATCGGTGCATCTTCCAACCCAACTTTCAATTTGGAGTGTCTGACGCAATAGATTATATCAGGCTTGGGAATTTATTCTCATCGACCAGTTTTCATTGTATTAACAACATGCTCTTCAGTATGCTTTTCAAACAGCAATGCTGAAGCAAACAAAGACAAAAGAACTTCTTTACCTAGCAGATACTGATGCTAAACAACAGCTATGACACTCAACATTTGAAAGATCCAAGCATGCCAAATTTATAAGAACTTACTCTGGAAACATCACACCAGCATCAATCAAAATGTAACGATCATAATTCCCCACAAGCATGCAATTCATCCCAATTTCTCCTAGACCACCAATTGGTAATATGCGTAATGGAGGGCCATGGGACCCTTCATAAAACTGCTCCATCTTGCGTTTAACTGAATCCTCCATGCTCTTTCCAGGTCCTTCTGTTCTTCCAGACCTTCTACGTGGTACTCTGGAGGCACTGGAGCCCCGTGAACCTGCACAGAGCAATAATCAACCATCTAGTCTACAAATTAATCAACTTACAAAGGTCCAATGAGAAAATATACGTACCAAGAAACTACTTTGAAAACGAACTACGCTCCGCATAGAAAAAAAGTAATATATCAAATATTTCATGGAAAAAAGGTAGGAAAATGTTGGAAAAAAGCAATTAATAACAGTATAACACTCTCATTGCTAAAAAATTTATTAGCTCATCTTATGTTTCTTATTAACTAAACAAGAACACCCGAAAGAACAATACTTTTTATGACTTTTCTACTTATTTTTAATTCCAATTTAATTACTCCGAAAATGTCTGCATATTGTGACAAGAAAATGAGTTCATAAATTCCCTTTTAGCAACATGAACAGAAAAAATATCAAGAAAACACAAAGCCCATTAAAAGAAAAAGGAACTTTATATGGTACTAGACCATATTTGACAGCAAATAAACAAAATTTTAATTTTTTTTACTGAGGGTGTTGTATTGCATACTCTTTACGGAGGGCGAAGGCGTACAGCAAGAAACGAAGCATCTTCTAGGTTTTGGTTGACACCACAAAATCTTGTGAGTGCATAGTGAAGTCGCACTCAAAGCAGCCATCCTAATGTATAGATGCAAATGATTTGTGAGTATATCTATATCTTCATCTAAAGCTCATAAAATTGAGAAAAAAAAAAAGGAAGCTGTTGTTAAGTGGTTTGAAATTTAATCCCAGAAAAATGATTTTGTGCAAAGGTTTAAGAGACGGAAGCAAAGAGCAAGAAGATTGTTTTGTGAAGTGAAAGGGTAAAATATCCTTCTTATCCAACATAAGAGATTATTGTACCAAAATAAAACGCGATATGTTCATTCGAGGTGAGGTGAAGTGCGACTTTAGATTCTCAAAGAGAGTTGTGTTGTTGATGAACTTTGTATCTATTGATGTAATCTAGTATATTCTTTTCTTTATTCTTTAAATCTCTTCTGAAGTACAATAGTGAACGCTATATCGAAGAAGTTTGTACACAAATCAAGAAACTACATCAACTTGGATTGATTGAGATGAAAACAAGTGAAATGGCATTGAACATTTACATGTCTAACAAAGGCCATGAAGCCATTATGTAAGTTTATATATAGAAGGAAGACGATTACAAATAATCAACTGGCATATTATGCACCAAAAAAATAAAAAGGAAAGAATTATGAGTTCAAGATCTTTGTTCTCCATCTGCAGTTGATTGAACTTGAGCTGCATACTGCAAGTTCCAAAGAACATCCTCTAAAGATGGACGAGTCGAAGATTCCTGAGAAACGCATTTGTTCGCTACGGATATGATAATCGATAGAGATTCTTGAGAGCAAGACGTGAGTATAGATGGGTCAACTATTCGCCTCTGGCCATCAGGAGTACCTAAAGAAACCTGAAAAATGTAGAAATAAAATTTAGATACTCCCAACAAGTTAAATGCAGATTGGATGGACCATATAGAAAACATAAATTGAGTGTTTGGGTTCGTAAATTGGGGGGAGTCAAAGCTGGAATCAATGCAAGGACGTCGAAGGAAAATGAACTTCACTAGAGCATGTTTCGCTAAGCTAAAAAAATAATAAATAATAATAATCTTTTGGAAAGCAAGTACTTAACCAAGCATTTTTGGTTAAAAAAAAAGCTACTTAAAAAGTGACTTATAAGCTATACCAAACATGATCTAACAGATTCTCGAAGATGATCACTTGCAATGAGAAGCAGAGAAACTTGAAACGAGAATCAAGAACTTTCTACACTTCGTTTTAACCAACGGGTTTCTGTTTTTTCGTTGTTTGTTGATGCAAATATAGGGAATTATTTATTTAAGAGTCAGCTTTCTAACGCATTCTACGCAGTATACGTTGTGTGCTATGCAAAAATCAGTTAAAGTACCATCTCATTAAGCAAAAATGCCTCGTTTCTCTCAGAGAATGAAGGGCCGATAAGCGACCGGAATAATATCAATCCAAAGCTATAAACATCATCCTCAAAGCTCTTTATATGCCTGCAAAGGTATCACCAGAAAGGAAAAGGTTAACAACTACTTTCGACACGGTGTAATTCTATTAACCAAGTAAACTAATCTACTCTTGTTGCAATGACTCGTTGATCTGAGGGAACTCAGTACCATGCTTTAAGGCCTTCTGCCTAACAACCAAAATAAAAAATAAAAAATTGATAGTTAGTCGCCTACAAGATTTTAACTTTTTTCTTTCTCAATACTGTCTACTAACATCTAATCTACCTTACCAATCAAGTGCGTTGTTTAAATACATACCTTGTGCTCATCAATCTCTTGGACTACAATTGACAGTCCATAATCACTCAGCTTTCCCATCCAATGCTCATTCAGCAATATATTGTTCGCCTTCAATCGATTATTGAAGAAACCGGGAATAATTCCAGTGTGAAGAAAATGTACAGCCTTGGCAACACCAATCAGAATTGCCAGTCTGTCGGACCATTTGAGTACCTTCTCGAGATTAGTTTCTGCATAGATAATAGAGCAATATTCAATCGGGAAACGTATAACACCAATATCTGCCTTTATTTTTTTTCAGTTAAAAGATTTGAAATATTTCTACGTTTGTAATCACAGATATCTAAAACAAACTTCTTTTATAGCGCTACCCTCACCCGAAAGACGAGCTTGATAATTTCCATTGGGTACATATTCGTATATGAGGTAGACATTGTTTACACCAGATTCATCCTTTCCTTCATTCTGGATGCAGTGCCCCAAGAGGCAAACTAAATGAGGATGCTGGAGCTTAGCCAACAAATCGAGTCTTAGTTTGAGATTTCGAATTGTAAATCTTTTTGATACTGTTAGGCACCGTATAACTACTTGAGTCCCGTTTTCCAGTCTTCCTTTGTACATCTGAGAAGGAAACCATGACATACATAAGTCCAAAGGCCAGTGTGTCTGATATACTAATGATATATTAAATGCTTCTTTCATTTTGAAGGTGCCATTTTGGCGTATTTTTGTTCCTTATTAATGGCCAGCTCTGAACATCCACCTTGCCAAATAAGCCACTAAATCATAACTATGAAAATAGCAATAAGAGAAGTTTATACCTTTCCAGTTGAACCTTCACCCATCAAGGTGGACTTATCAAAATTATTCGAGGCAGCCTTTAGCTCGTTTAATGAAAACAGGCGATGAGCGGGTGTACCTTGTGAGTTAACTTTGCTGCATCAGAGATAAACCCTGATGGAACAAAAGTGGAAGCTTAAATAGGCTCATCAAGTACAACAAAAAGCAGATATGAAGAAAGTTTAGTGATAACTTACTAGCGTTTGTTAAAAGTTCGGAAGTGAACCCCGTGACAGAGTTATCTTGCACTGACTTATGCAATAAATGCTGCTCTGATGTCCCTCGAGGACAATATTGCCGACACAAAACAAGAAATCCATAGGCTAAAAGCCCCATAATAACAATAACTCCACTAATGACACCAATTAATACTCCCAAAGTTTTCCTTTCATATTTTTTCTTCTCTTCATGGGGTTCTGCACAATATGTTTCTGGATGCTGATGACTAAGATCAATCGACAGGCAATTACCTCCATACTTTATACCTCTAGCTTTTATCACAGAGCTCAAACAGGAAGGCAATAGACCTCTCAATTTATTGTTAGAAATATCGACTGATCCAAGCTTAGCGCCACAATTCAAGCGCATAGGAAGCGACCCACTCAACATATTTGACGCCAAGTTTAAAGAAATTATATTGGGCAACGAAAAAAGTCCTGCAGGAGGTGTCCCTTTAAGGGCATTGAAAGAAAGGTCAATTTGCTGAAGTTGATTCGGTTGACCATATTGCTGAGGAATTCTCCCAGTAAAGGAGTTGTTGTTTAGCAGAATTGTTTTCAGTCCTTTCGGCATAATTGGAAGTTCAGAGTCAAACTTGTTTTTGCTTAAATCCAGCTGTTGTAGGCTCAATAAGGTACTAAGATCCGGTAACATCCCAGAAATTGCATTGTTTGACAAAAAAAGAGCTGTTAAAGTGGTAATCCTTTTTATCGAAGATGGCAACGAGCCACTCACAAGATTGTTCCTCAAACTTAAACTAGTAAAATTTGAAAACGAATCAAACCAATCAGGAAAGGTTCCATTCAAGAAATTCCCATCCAATTTAAGAATCCGAAGTTGGCCAATTCTTGAAAGTGTTCGAGGAATAGAACCATATAGAAAATTCCAACTCAAATCCAAGTATTCAAGTGATTGCAATCTATGAATTTTATCAGGGATTGAACCCCAAATGCCTAATGATACCAAACTAAGGGACTTCAATCCATTTAACCTAGAAAGGGTAGCTGCAAGAGAATCCATGGAGAAATTTTGTGACAATGTTCCATCCAAAACTCGAAATCCATTAAAATTACTAACCCTTTTTCGCTTATCACCAAAGATTATGATCCCAGTAACCAAATTGTTTTGACAAGTTATGTTCACCTGAGGGGTTGACAAATAACAGAAATCTGTGCTAGTATTGAGCCATAAATCTAACTGTTTTGGGTACTCTAATTGCCTCCTTAGCTGCAAAAGTACCTGGGTTTGGGAGGATTGTAGTTCATAGGTTCCCAAAACCAAGAAACTCGATGAAAAACAGAGAAATGTTAAGAATCTTGAGCATTCCATGGACTTATAAGTAAATAACTTCATTAAAAACAGCAAATTCTGTAAAAGCCAAAAAAAAAAAATTTGTATTGCAATTTTGTTCAATAAGCTGATTCAAGATCCAACTCATCAAGAAAATACAGAACTGGGTGAAAATGACATTTCTAACATCCCACAAAAATATGAAAAGAAAGAGTTATAGTTTCTTGAAGAGAAGTACATAACTTACGTTAAAAATGACAAATTCTAAAAACGCGCCCAAAAAAAAAAAGGATACTACAGACGGAAACATATTGTAGTCCAAGATTGTTCAAAAAGCTGATTCAAGATACACTTCATCAAGAAAATATCAAGAAAGGTACAAAGGTTGGTGGAAATGACCCACAAAAAATAAGCTACATATTTAAATAAAGATCAAGAGAGGTACAGAACTTGGCGAATATGACGATTGACAGAAGTGGGCTGCCCAGAAAGATGGTTCAAGAAAAACATCAACAGAAGCTGGAACAAGAGCAAAGCTGAACAAAATAAGTGAAATGAAGCAATTACAAAGTGGGGAATAAGGTTGTGTTTTGGTAGTAGAATCTTAAAAAATGTGAATTCAGAGCGCTTGAAGAATTTAATATTAGTGGGGTATGTATCTTTTTATTGAAAATTGAGAGACATTGATACAATAATGGAGTGAGTGGAGAGTGGGATCTTCAGAGGACAAGTTGGAGGTTGATAGTAAATTATTATATACTGCATTGCCATGTTTTCTTTAGCGGTGAGGACTGTTAACTGAAGAGTGAAATACTGAAATGTAAGAGAACCCATGCCAACTGACATTATTAATATGGAAAATGGTGTTTATATTCCTATCATATATATATTTTTTAAATAAACTTATTATCATTAAATCAAAATTATAAATTTTTATTTATTATCGCATTTATATTTTTTTTCATCATATTTTTATTTTTAACATTTTATTGATCAGAAAACCTTGTCCTTAAAACATGATTTTTGTTCAAAAATATCGTTAACGTGATTTAAAATGATAGTTAAGTATTTAATTTAATTTTATATTGTTATTTGTTTTGCTTATTTAAAAATACATTTGGCAAATTTTTATTTTTTTCTATCTTTAAAAAAATTGAAATGAAATCATAATCAAGTTCACTTTATGTTAATTTGAAAATAAGAATACGATGAAAAAAATTTGAGACATACACGTAAAAATTAATAAAAAAAAATTGTGGTGTGAATATTTTAGCCTATGAAAAATGATCAAATTGTTGTATTACAAAATTGGGCATAAAGAATGTGTTATGTGGCACAAAAAAATTTAGGAAACATTTCATTATTAGTTTTATATCTTTGGTCTGTGTAGCAAGTTAGACCTTGATATTTAAAAAGGAATAAGTCGAGTTTAATTTTTTTATCATAGTTATATAATTAGTTTTCTTAATTGGAAAACATCCATGGTGAGGTTGACTGATTTGAAGCTCCGTAGCCGATTGATTACACTTAAAATCGAAATGGAATTGAGGGTTTTGTGGTTTAAGAACCTCGAATCTCCTCAAAACTCTTGTTTGACAACTATTATTTAGAAAAAAAATAATATTTTGAATAGTAATTTTTAGGAGAATATGTGGTAAAAAGTATGAAAATTTTTGAATTTACGTACAAAATATTTTAATATGTGAATGTATGGTTAAAAATAAGTATATAAAAAAAAAAAAGTTTCCAAACAATGATGGACGATAATGTTACTATTCTTGGATCCACAAGGAAGTATGTGTGTTCAGAGGAATATCTTTTTATAAAATTAACTAATTGCTTATGCAATTATAATAAATATTGAAACTTGAAACTAATCAATAATTTGGACAATAATGAAGCCGCCAAGGATGGTTAGGTCATTAAAAAGCGAAAATCCTGCACTCCAATTGATTATCTCCAATAAAAGAGTTAGCTCTTTTAAGCCACTACTAGTGAAGGAAATTTGCGTTGCACGTTCGTTGATTGATGTTAAAAAAATAAATGTTTGTAGATTTTAGAAAAATTCATTTTTAAATGACAATGTCGAAAGATAATGCTCAATCCACAACAAGAAACACAAAATAACAAAAAATGTACATCTCAATTTCTTATAAAACCTCAAAGACAAATTGCAAGTTCAGCTTTTTATTAGTATTCAGCAAGTATCAAGTATTGATCACATATTTCACTATTTTCAATACTTTATCCTTTTAACATAACTATGGATGTAATTTCGTTACACACCCACCTTTTGAAGCATAGCTCAAGTAGATGTCAGTATTCACAAAACTCTTATAGGAAAAAAATACATTGTACTCCATTAAAGATAAAGATTCGTTAATTTGATAAAAATTCAGCTAGCACAAATCACAGAATTTCACGAGAACATCAAGAAATATGTAGGAATTTTTTTTCACGAAAACAATAAAGGATAAAGTAATCAAATAGGGAATCGAAAGAACAAACAAAAACATTGAAAATTCCAAAACATAAGGATTATGAAAATGAATAATAGTACCGCATATTATGCAAGTAAAAGTCGAGGACTAAGAAATGTGTACATTTAAACTTCTGATTTGCTTAAGGTGAACAGAAAAAAAACAAATGTAAAGCACCAAATAATTATATAAATATCATAAATAATTATGGCATATCATGCAACTGCGTGACCATTACGGGCTAAACAATTTACACATTGAAGCCATTGTGTCACTGATTGAACAACTTGAATATTGATGCATCATATATAAATCTAAAGCAACAAACAGAAAAATAGCATTTTATACTTCCCATTTACAAGCAAGAATAACAACATCAAGTTATTCGATTTAGTAGGGCAAGCCAACCAAATTGAGAAGTACATTGAACTTTGGTTTGTCAAAGAATGCTTGCACCTTTTCAAATCCAAACTTCATCAATTCAACCACTTTCAAATAATTTCCAACTTCAATCGATCATAAGCTAAAGCATGTCCACAAAATTCATTACCAAAACTGCTTTTTTCAACCAACCATCTTCTTGTGGTTTACATATAACTTCCTTCATCCCCACAACAAAAAAAAAAATCGAAAACTATAAGGGTTCGTTTGATTGTAATTATAAAATTTGGATGAAAAGAAAATGAATTCTTGGAAATTAAATTGTCTGGAATTCATTTGACTAGAAATTGTCAATTAATTGTGTTTGATTGATAAAAATTTTCACTTGGAAAATATTGAAATTTTGGATCTTTTGATATTCGTTTGGCTCTGTTTTCCATAAAAAATTATCCATTAAAGGGAAAAAAAATTTACAATTGGGGATAAAATTTGTTTCCATTGCCCAAAAAAAATGCCTAGAAAACCAATTTCTACCAAAATCAAAAGAAAATGAATTCCACCAAAACCAAGAATTGGGCAGGTGTGGGGTTGTGGGTGGAAAATTAATTGCCAAGAAATGAATTCCAATCAAACATGCCATTTGGGTGGAAATTGAATTTTTTTTTCCATTTTTCGTCGAATTTTTGTTGAATCAAACAGGGCCTAATTATAATTGACGAAATAGATAAAAGATATCATTACATATAAGATCTGATATCTCATTAATAAATTAAATTTAAAGACCGAGCGTGTACCATTACCTAATACAACTCCACTTGAGATATAATTTGTCCATATCAATTGCAAAATTACTAAAAAGCATTATGGAATTAAAAATCTTGTAAATAATTTTTTTTAGACACAAGTAAATATAGCCGAATCAAACTATCGTCGGTATACTTACTTTGCCATATCAATTTTTTATTTTTATTTTTATTTCTCAAGCAAATATACTTACAAATATATGTGGTAATACATAATAAAATTAGACAAAACATGAATACCTAAACAATGATAAATTCACTACATTTTCTCTTCTCGATCTTGCTAACTCCATTATATCTTGGTTGTGAAGGTATCTGAAAAGACTTGTTAGTTAAATAGAAAACTACAACAATTGGAGGAAAAAATTACAATTGGGGATAGAATTTGTTTCCATTGCAAAAAAATATGCCTAGAAAACCATTTCCTACCAAAACCAAAAGAAAATGAATTCCACCAAAACCAAGAATTGGGCACGTGTGCGGTTGTGGGTGGAAAATTAATTGCCAAGAAATGAATTCCAATCCAACATGCCATTTGGGTGGAAATGGAATTTTTATTTTTTTTAGCAATGGTACATTCCCAGAAATTTTTTTTACAGAAATGCTAAAGATACTCACATTGGGTGTGGGCCCCATTTTTTGGACATTATTTAATTCACATGGGGCCCACACCCCATGTGAGAGTCTGGTAATGTTCTATTAAATTTTTTTTCTGTACAGTCAGAATTTTCTCTTTTTTTCCATTTTTCATGGAATTTTTGTTGAATCAAAGGTGGCCTAATTATAATTGACGAAATAGATAAAAGATATCATCACGTATAAGATCTGATATCTCATTAATAAATT